ACCTGATGTGTGTGTTGTAGGTCCTAATATCTCACTCAGACCTGATGTGTGTGTTATAGGTCCTAATATCTCACTCAGACCTGATGTGTGTGTTGTAGGTCCTAATATCTCACTCAGACCTGATGTGTGTGTTGTAGGTCCTAATATCTCACTCAGACCTGATGTGTGTGTTATAGGTCCTAATATCTCACTCAGACCTGATGTGTGTGTTGTAGGTCCTAATATCTCACTCAGACCTGATGTGTGTGTTATAGGTCCTAATATCTCACTCTGACCTGATGTGTGTGTTATAGGTCCTAATATCTCACTCAGACCTGATGTGTGTGTTATAGGTCCTAATATCTCACTCAGACCTGATGTGTGTGTTGTAGGTCCTAATATCTCACTCAGACCTGATGTGTGTGTTGTAGGTCCTAATATCTCACTCACTCAGACCTGATGTGTGGGTTATAGGTCCTAATATCTCACTCTGACCTGATGTGTGTGTTATAGGTCCTAATATCTCACTCTGACCTGATGTGTGTGTTATAGGTCCTAATATCTCACTCAGACCTGATGTGTGTGTTGTAGGTCCTAATATCTCACTCAGACCTGATGTGTGTGTTGTAGGTCCTAATATCTCACTCAGACCTGATGTGTTTGCTGAAGGTCCTAATATCTCACTCAGACCTGATGTGTTTGCTGAAGATCCTGGAATTAAGAGCTGTGCAATAAATTTTAAAAGAAACGCAATCGTAACTTGTTTATTGACACCTTAGTTAAAATAAAAATACAACTATCCGACAGTCACTGAGTGAGGGGCTGGAGGGGAGGTAAACTCAAATAATTTGAGTGGAAATGTTCTTGACCTCTTCTCTGTGATTGGCTTGAATATAGTGCACAGTTAAATACATTTTGCAATAAAAATATTTTTGTCATAGCGTCTCTACAGCATGTAGAGATTGAACAGAAGAGGTCCCAAGATCAACCCCTGTGGTACTCCACAGGGCAGGGCCATATGACAGTTTCTCAAAGTACATCCTGTCTTCAAGGTAAGACCTAAACCAACTTAGGGCGGTGCCAGCGACATGCATTAGTAGTACCTTTCTTATTTCCCGCCTTTCAAATATTTTAAATAATATAATATATAAAGTCCTTAAACCATCAGCCGCAGAAAACCCATATTGTTCGATCTCAAGTTCCCCTGCATTCTCATTTATAGCCCCATCATGTTGACAATCCCTGTTTTCTCTGCGATCTTTACCACATCTTTTTTACTTTCTTTTTTGTCCTTTTTTGGATAATTTTAGACCCATATTAAGATGTATAATGTTTTTCTTATATATATTAATCCATGTTCATCAAAGACCAAAGCACATGTATGTATTTTGTCTCAACGTTTTCCACTCTCACGCTCTGCTCCATGGAAACCTCGAGCTGTAAAGATCTACATGTGCAGGCAGGTCGACTCATTAAAACCAAGCAAAAGCAATTATCCCTCGGCCTCCAAACAACTGGGGCAATGGAGCAGAAAGCGGCTTCTCTGCAGCATCACTGCTCTCAGAGTAACCAGCTGCAGGGGTTCAGGCCGACAGAGATATGTGAGGGGGGGCCTATCATATTTACTGTGCCCAATTGTCGGTCAATTATTAATGAATGAAAGATTTTGGAGATCAATATTTTTAGTCTGCAGTGGACACACAGGTTGAAACCATAGACTATATTCAGATGGACACGGCTAACCCTCAAGCTCAATGAACCAAATGAGCGAAGTTGTCCTATTGATTCTAATTCTCTAATTCATTACTGTTTGTGTCACACTCTTTTTTTTAACTTAAAACAAATCTGTGGTTAAGTGTTCTGTTTTTAACCTGATGTTATCTTTGTTACTTCAGATATGAGTCCTAGCAACTGACCAATCGGGTGCCTTCTGTCCACGATTTCGGCCTTTGCTAGCGAATAGCGGGAGCAGGGAGAGACTGGCACCGCTTCTGGTGGTGGTTGCTACTAGGGCTGCACAATAAATATTGAAACAAATATTGCTATCGCAATATTGGTGCGTGCGATATCCATATCAAAAAGATGCGCAATAAAAAAAAGAACGTACAGTAACGGACACATCAACATTCAACAAACAAACAAAGGTATATAGATATATGTATTTGAAGGTCATTATTGTGGTGCTTATTTTTTATTTGTCTCTTGCGTTTCAATGCAGATTGCAATTTTAGGTGAAAGACAAAAATATTGCAATAATATCGTGATCGCAATACTACACACTCATATCGAATATCGCTCTAATTTCCGATATCGTGCAGCCCTAGTTGCTACCCACATTTTGTTTGAAGCCTGTTCAAGCTTGTTCTTATCTGCTTCTTCTGTAATAAGGCAAATAATTGAAAGATGGTGGGACATATATTAACAACATGTGCTTAACAAGAATCATGTTACGTTGTTTTAAGATTGAGCATACAAATAATATTAAAATAATAATTTTGATAATTTTGATAATGGATAAATACAATGACTAGACCAGAACTGTGTCCAAGCCCTGGACACTGACATTTTCCTCTCGTTGCCTGAGGACGAGAACTTCATAATTCACAAAGACACACTCGTGACATGTTTTACAAGAACGGCTGCTTTTCTCTAGTCCTGGCCTGGGTTAGTCCTAGATCAAGAGCTTGGACATCCCACCAACCTAATGAAACCACTCTTCAGATCTGTAGATGGTTCTACAGTATATACAGTGCCTTGCGAAAGTATTCGGCCCCCTTGAACCTTTCAACATTTTGCCACATTTCAGGCTTCAAACATAAAGATATAAAAATACTTTTTTTTGTCAAGAATCAACAAGTGGGACACAATCGTGAAGTGGAACGAAATTTATTGGATAATTTAAACTTTTTTAACAAATAAAAAACTGAAAAGTGGGGTGTGCAATATTATTCGGCCCCCTTGCGCTAATACTTTGTAGCGCCACCTTTTGCTGCAATTACAGCTGCAAGTCACTTGGGGTATGTCTCTATCAGTTTTGCACATCGAGAGACTGGAATTCTTTCCCATTCTTCCTTGCAAAAGAGCTCGAGCTCAGTGAGGTTGGATGGAGAGCGTTTGTGAACAGCAGTCTTCAGCTCTTTCCACAGATTCTCGATTGGATTCAGGTCTGGACTTTGACTTGGCCATTCTAACTCCTGGATACGTCTATTTGTGAACCATTCCATTGTAGATTTGGCTTTATGTTTTGGATCATTGTCCTGTTGGAAGATAAATCTCCGTCCCAGTCTCAGGTCTTTTGCAGACTCCAACAGGTTCTCTTCCAGAATGGTCCTGTATTTGGCTCCATCCATCTTCCCATCAATTTTAGCCATCTTCCCTGTCCCTGCTGAAGAAAAGCAGGCCCAAACCATGATGCTGCCACCACCATGTTTGACAGTGGGGATGGTGTGTTCAGGGTGATGAGCTGTGTTGCTTTTACGCCAAACATATTGTTTTGCATTGTGGCCAAAAAGTTCGATTTTGGTTTCATCTGACCAGAGCACTTCTTCCACATGTTTGGTGTGACTCCCAGGTGGCTTGTGGCAAACTTTAAACGAGACTTTTTATGGATATCTTTGAGAAATGGCTTTCTTCTTGCCACTCTTCCATAAAGGCCAGATTTGTGCAGTGCACGACTGATTGTTGTCCTATGGACAGACTCTCCCACCTCAGCTGTAGTTATCTGCAGTTCATCCAGAGTGATCATGGGCCTCTTGTCTGCATCTCTGATCAGTCTTCTCCTTGTTTGAGATGAAAGTTTGGAGGGACGGCCGGGTCTTGGTAGATTTGCAGTGGTCTGATACTCCTTCCATTTCAATATAATTGCTTGCACAGTGCTCCTTGAGATGTTTAAAGCCGGATTTGGATACAAAAAGATTTCCCAAGCTTTAAACTTCTCCACAACAGTATCTCGGACCTGCCTGGTGTGTTCCTTTGTCTTCATGGTTCTCTCTGCGCTTTAAACAGAACCCTGAGACTATCAAAGAGCAGGTGCATTTATACGGAGACTTGATTACACACAGGTGCATTCTATTTATCATCATCAGTCATTTAGGACAACATTGGATCATTCAAAGATCCTCACTGAACTTCTGGAGTGAGTTTGCTGCACTGAAAGTAAAGGGGCCGAATAATATTGCACGCCCCACTTTCAGTTTTTCATTTGTTAAAAAAGTTTAAATTATCCAATAAATTTTGTTCCACTTCACGATTGTGTCCCACTTGTTGTTGATTCATGACAAAAAAATAAAATTTTATATCTTTATGTTTGAAGCCTGAAATGTGGTGAAATGTTGAAAGGCTCATACTTTCGCAAGGCACTGTAGTTTTAATTTCCAGGCGAGGGGTCTCAGTCAGTCACAATTTTTAAGTCCAATCTACATTATGTGAATATTAACAAGGGAATAGAGTATTAATTTCACCTGTCACACAGTTTCATATCAATCTTTTTTATAGCAAAAGTAGTATAATTTTCCATATAATAGAGTAGCTTTTTTGGTGGGAGATGGATTTTTGGGTTGCCAATGTATCCTCGAGTAAATAGGTTTTGAGGGATTTAGAGCTTTTTTTAAATGTTCTAAATATAGGTGCTCTATCTGAATATGGATATCTAGTTTCTTCAGCATATTTTTGTCTAGTGTTTCGAATCTTGTACTAATAGTAGTGGCTGTATGTTGGATTGTGGATTGTGCAGGTCGTTTGTTCGTTTTAATTAGGGCAGAAGCAGAAACTGATCTGAGTCATTAAACTTGTGGCAGGAATAGAAACGGCTATTATTACAAACCCTTCTGTTTCATGTTCATTCATTTATTGAGACTTAAACTCGAAAACGGAGTTTGTATTCTCTGCATAGTGACATTAATTAACATAGCATTCAATCAAAATCAAAATCTTAAAGGGTGAATATTTGCAGAATATTTGTAACTGAAATGTACTTGTCTCTTTTTGGCAGGTGTAATGGTGTCTCTGGCCATGTGCAGATGATGGATGTGGAGGCGTCCTACTCAGAGTTCATCAGCTGTGATCGTACGGGCCGGAGGAACGCAGTGCCCGACATCGCTGGAGAGGGCGCACCTGCGGCCAGCACCAGCCAGCTCAGCCAGGACCTGGAGGGCATGGATCTCAAGAGTAAAGGTATGTGCCTCCATGAACCTTTAGTTCTGCAGCAGATTTTAATTAGGAACTCACTAATTGCCAAGGTAAGTGTGGTAACTTTGTATTTGGATAATATTTTGAAGGACAAATATGACTACTACAACCCCAAGATGGCTGCGGGGTATAGCACCCAAACCGACTGAGGAAAATATGCATCTTATGTGTTTTGCTGCAAAGTAATCCTCCCTCTTGGTCTGATGGAGGTATAGATAATCATCATGAAACCATTGGCTATCAGCAGCAGTCCAGACAGTTCTTCTTTTGATAGAACAGTCTGGCCACGCACACACATCTTTCTATCTCCCATGCTCTTCTCCCTGTACGCCAACCACTCTACCTCCAGCCATGACTAATGAAGTTTACGACACCGCCCTCCTTGGTTCAGCTCTTCTGACAAGCAATATAAAGGAAGAATATTTAAAGTGTTTAAAGAAAAATGTCCGTGTGTCTTGTTTACAGGGGAGGACCCGGGTGCCTCTCCAGCCCCTGCTGCTGAGGGCCCATCCTCGGATGCCCAGGACAGTGGGGGCCCTTCTTAAACTGCCTTGGGAGTGAATGGAGAGGTCTACACCCGGGCATTTGAAGAGACAGACTTATGATGTCCGCACAAACACCCTGCTCACTGCCGGCATCATGTTTGCCTCATGTGCAAACTCAATGGCTTTTAATCGTATTGGAAAGACTTGGGAGTTTAGATGAGACCATGAGGTCACACATTCATCAAAGCAAGTACATTTGAGGTTTTAGAGACACAAAGCAAAGGACTCTGATCTGTTTGGAGATGGCATCTTAATTGTTGGTTTATTATTTTTGGTGTCCGTGTGCGTGCCGTGTGCTATTTGTTCACTGTCCGATTCCTGTACTTTATTTTCAGCATCTAAGTTACCATTCTAATGTTGTGTACGGACTCCATATTTATTGCTAAATGTTTGGTGATAACTTTGTGATAGCATTTTTCTTTGTGTAATAAAATACGTATATGAATCTCTGATTATGTCTCCTTTACTTCTAGATGTTAGTGGATAGTCCAGACCTGGTCCCTGGTTTATTGTGAGCAGATCTGTACTTCAGGCCTCGGTCATGATGCTGTGCAGTGAGGCAGTAAATGTTAGTCCTTTTGTGTACATTAGAAAGACTCAGGAAGCGTGTGTTTACTTCTGCCACTGGATCTGTTCCAGACTCATCCATCTCTTTATAAGGTGCTCTGAGGACTGAGTGCAGACTGGCCTGCCCATAAGAGAAAGGCAAGGCAAGGCAAGTTTATTTGTATAGCACAATTCATACACAAGGCAACTCAAAGTGCTGAACAAGATAGCATTAAAATCATAGATAATCACAGAACATTAAAAAGAAAGATAAAAATATAAAATCCCTCAGTTGTATGCACAGCTAAACAGAACTGTTTTTAACCTGGTAAACATTGTCAGAGAGGAGGCCTGTCTAACATCTTCAGGAAGATTGTTCCAGATTTTAGCAGCATGAATCTGAAAAGAAAGAGAAAGTCCATCCCAGCACAACCAGTGCCAAACCTCTAAGCAACTGTGCTTTAAATATACTTTATTATAAGTGTCTGCGTACAAATGTGAAATACATTTTAAAATGGAATATATTACATAGCACACATCACCACAGGTGAATGCAGTGTCACCTGGTAAAGCATCATGTTACATCCAGTTGAAACCAGTGGTTTCTGTAAAAGGTTAAATAACAAAAGGAGGCTTCAGAGTTCTGATCAAATGCAAGACCAAAAAGGTCTGAATATATATATATAACACCTTCTCATTCAAAGAGTTTTTTATTTTCATGATTATGAAAATTGCCTCGAAGGCCTCAAAACTATGAAATAACTCATGTGGAATTATGTACACAAAAAAATATAAAACAACTGAAAATAAACTTTTATTTTAGGTTCTTAAAAGTAGCACCTTTTGCCCTGATTACTGCTTTGCACACTCTTGGCATTCTCTTGATGAGCTTCTAGAGGTAGTGACCTGAAATGGTCTTCCAACAGTCTTGAAGGAGTTCCCAGAGATGCTTAGCACTTGTTGGCCCTTTCGCCATCACTCTGTGGTCCAGCTCACCCCAAAACCATCTGGATTGGGTTCAGGTCCGGTGACTGTGGAGGCCAGGTCATCTGGCCCAGCACCCACCACTCTCCTTATTGGTTAAACAGCCCTTACGCAGCCTGGGTGTGAATCTACAGTCAATAGTCATAAAAAGAAAGAAAACTCAATGAATGAGAAAGTGTGTCCAAACTTTTGGTCTGTAGTGTAAAACAACAACATCCTTTGTTATACTTCCATATATGAACATTATTGTTATCAATTCTTATTATTGTAGGGGACCTCTGATCAGAACCACTCATTTTGACTATTCAAAGTTGACATTGAACAATTAACAATTGTGCAATATATTAAACTCAACGTTTCCCTGAAACCTGGGAGTAAACACAAAAGGAGGTGGAATACTGAGTCTGAAAAACATGTGCAGTTATCACGCCTTTAATTTGATACAAAAGTAGAAAATACTGGCAAAAAACTGCTGTGCTGATGCTGAATGAATATAAAACCAGATAAGAACACCACCAGCAGAAAATCAGAAGATTTAACCCAGCTTTAATCTGTCACTGTTAAAGGCCCAGTTTTCACAAGACTAGCCCTTGGTGTAGTCCTCAATGAGAATTCGTGGTTTTGTCCTGATTTCACCCTGAATAACTTGTTTTCCATTAGTAATGTTTAAGGCCTGGTTTAGTCATACGTTTAGCCCCTTTTAAGTCCTGATACTGGTGTCTTTTTAATGCCAATCCTCCAGGTCTTGTTTAATGACTCGTGGAGCCCCAGGTTTAGACTTGGTCTATTCCATTTTACTTGTTTGGGTCTTGATTTTTCTCCCAACACTCTGGACCAGCCCACAATACCTTTTTTATAATGAAATAGCTCAAAGTCCTTTTCAAATGCCACTTAAGTGAAAATATAACGAAAGCATATCCTATCATTTCTCTGAGATTCAGCCCATGTTTAAGGTTGGTCCAAAGCCTAGTTCAGCCCATGTTTAGCCCTGGCCCAGTCCTTTTATCACGATCAGCACTATACAGCTCTCTTTTCCCACTCAGGACAAAGGGGAAGTGTAATTTGAAAGGAGTCAGGTCTCTAAACCAATTACTCTGTGACCCTGATAGCTGTGCAGAAACAAATATATATATATTTTTTTAATCTTATTTAACTGATACTGAGGATTACATTGCTTAAAGATAACAAAGAGAGTATGTCAAATCATTTTGATCCACTGCTGCATAATCACCAGACTAATCTAGACAATCGACAGAAGTAAATATTAGGTCTATATACAGTTGTATAAAACGGGTCAGAGTTTGAGTGCATTCACTTTGGCCACATCAACATGGGAATATATTCAGAAATAGTCTGTGATTGGACCAGGACTAAACAGGGCGCAAAGCATGACACAAGGACTCACTTGAACGCTCTGCTCATGTACTACTTCTGGTTAGTTGAATCTGGAGTGACATACTGTATCTCAACTTGAGCTGCAGCTAAATTGATAAGAAAATTGGACCGGAAAAGCTCCAGACTTGGTCAAGTGACATGTACAACTTTTGTAAACCTTAAACCTAACAAAGTGGCATGCTTTTTTTCTGTGAATTTGGATTCAGCCCTTGAATTTCCTATGATGTCCCTTTGTAGTCCTGCTCTAGTCCTTTATGAACCCCATTTCCTTATTTTCATATTAGTAGTCCTAGTTTATTTCTAGTGAAATCCCCTTTTTCCTGGTCTTGTCCCTTGAGAATCCCTGATCTCTGCTTCAGCTCATTGGGTTTGAAATTGCTACAGATTCAATACCAGTGAGGTCTCTGAGTTGCAGAAGGCAAAACAAGTCTAAATGGATCAACTCTGACATTGATCGATCCATTTAAGTCTTTGTTTATAGCATGGTTTGGTGTCTTTGGGGTAGTTTTAAAAGGCAGTGCTCTGGACCATCCCGTACGCCTCATACAGAGACTGGAGCAGCTCTCTCTTCTCCTCTGCAGGCAGGAAGCACGACTGGGCTGCACAGATGTTCTGCAAATAACAAACACGTTAAAGATAAAAATTATTATATTCTAAATTTTTATACTATATAAGCTAATTTAGGTAAAATAACAGAACACAGTACAAAAACATTACAACAAATTCATAATTCAAATCACCACCATCATATCCTAAAGAAGAAAGGAACATTTTGACCACTTTGAAGAACTGCTCTATTGTTTACTCTGAACTTGGCTTTTCTGCATGTCAAGTCTGAGAATCTTTAGTAAATGATGTAATATGACAAAACATTTTTTATAAAAGCAAATTGATCTGATGTTTTCACACTATGTGGTACAGTATATGGTGTGCGTTTTAATTAGGAAATTGTACAAACTGCATAATATCCAATTTACACCTTAAGTCCCTGGACAGGTTGATGTAATAATAGACACTTATGTTATTTCAACATAGAAGTTCATAAATCCCATAACATATACATGCTTTGTTTATATTATGTTGTGTTATGTTTAATTGTTTGTGAGAATGTTGCTTGTTTCCAAATCCTAGAATAGCTGCTACGTATTAGAACTGCACCCTCTCTCTAATCCTTTCTTTGCTACATTAAAATGAATGATGATTGCTTGTAATGGATAGATTAAAAGATAGTGTAGTAATGTATTAGCGTGTTAATGTGTTTCATGTATCTCGACGGTTCCGGAGTTTCTGTTTGTGCACTGAGTTTTTCCTGACCAGCCGTTGGAAGTCCTGCTCAGTGAAGCCCATGAATGTCAGTGCGGTGCTGTAGTCGTCATGGAGACTGGAGTTGAAGATCAGAGGGTCGTCCGTGTTCAGAGAGAAGTTTGCCTTGTCGTTCCTAAACCTGTGACAAAACAAATGATATCATCTTACTGATATCTGGCTTGTAGTAAATGGAAAAGCAGTGAAGTAGATTTCTTACATTCTATGTTTTTTGTTATCTTTGTATTAGTCTGTCAGGAGATAAGTGGGTGGAGCTGTGGTAGGTGAAATAGACATTTTCTGAGCCTTGACTTACTCTAGAACGGGCATGTCAACCTCAGGCTTAAACATATACAGTATATAGATCCTTTAAAAAAAATATTTATTTACCAGTTTTTATCGCTTAAACACAAGTCAAGTTTCTCTTAATAGACACTTCTTAGTCGTATGACATTGTGTAAAAATGTCCTAAGCTAAATGACACGTTTTCCAACTCACAAATAGTCTGTTGGAGCGAATTACAAACCCTGGAGACACTCACGTGATGATGGGGTGCTGTGTGAAGTCAGAGCTGCAGGCACCAGTGAATTTACTGGAGACTGGACACATCTGAAACACACACTATGGAGTTATTGTTGCCCACTTCAACAACGCCATATTTTTGCGGACATAACTAAGAGGCCAATAATTTAAATAATTTAGATATTTCTGTGAACAAGTGCTGATTATTGGTACATTATTAAATATGAATGAAACATATGGGAATGGAAGGATTGAGTGGAGACTGGATCCAAGTTCCATTGTTCAGTCACAAACCAGACCATAACAAACTCAGCATCAAAGGATGGGTTAAATTTACATAGCACATTTCATACATAATGTGACACAAGTTCATTAATATATGAGACATATTTGACGGAAGCATACTGTGATGGGCTTTATAAACAAGGATAAGTCAATATATCAAAGAGATCAGAAACCAACTCAACACCCAAGAACACGCTTGTGCCAGGAAGTGGTCACAGACTTATCACACAGAAGATTACATGTAGATAAACATTTATTTCCAAAATTAACATTGGCACGTCAGTGATTGTAGTGCTACTGGGATCCGCTAGAGGGCGGCAGGATACCATTCAAGCTGACTAGTTTCAATCCGAGAAACACTGAAAATACCAAAACTTCATCTATTTCAACAGATGTATTTGTGTGTATTTGGTGTGGTCTCAGTAGCAGTAAGCAATGTGCATGTGATTGAGGACATGGATGTTCAAATTTATTTGAATGGCATCTGTTTGTTTTATTCAAGATTATCCTAAAATATACTTTCCTCAACTATATTTAAGTTCCCTATGTGGAGCCAACCTTCAACTTAGAAAATGTCCTGTTTTTCCCATTTATTCCCAGTTAATTCCCATAAATTCTGATGGATTTCTTCCATCTTTGAAAATTCCTGGTATTTTGCAACCCTAATACTAATTGATCAAAATGTCCCTACTATGGGGGCGAATGAAGGTTATTTCATAAGGGTTCTCCCATTTCATCATTAGGTCAAAACATTGATTAAACAAAGGGTTTAAAGGATATCCATGTGACAGAATTCACTAGAGCTAGGAATCAGAGGATCCCTGTTGATGCAATGCACTGAAACACAATGCAGTCGCCTACATGACTCAGGAATACACAAATGAATGCATATTGTACAGGACAGAAATGTATTTCTGCACAAATGTATGTAAAGTATATACTATTCATGAAAATAATTAAAATGTCTGAATTAAATATAATAGACATCTTATTTTTCTAGACATGTAATTACTAGATGCAGTATAGAAATGGCATTACAGTACGTAATGAAAGTGTGTAACAAGAATACTGTATTTATATTATTTGGATTCAATGATTAATCATGTCATTGTCATTATTATTGGTAAGGTTCAGACAGACTGCTTTCATTGGTATTTCTGAAGCAGGTTCCTCTTTGCTCTTCCTCTACACTTCTACTAACCGCTCACAAAACTCCATAAACACCATTCTGAAATAATTCTGTCTGTGTCCAATCTGAATTAGAGCGCGAGTATCTGCACATGTAGTGTCCGTGAGGCCACAGCTGCCCTACCTCAAAGTGCATGTTCTGCTGCAGCAGTTGTTTGTACAGGGTTGGGTCCTCCAGAGTTCTGTATCCATGTCCAATCCGCTCAGCCTTCAGCACCTCCACAGCCTGATACACACATGCACACGCACACCACACACACACACACACACACACACACACACACACACACACACACACACACACACACACACACACACACACACACACACACACACACACACACACACACACACACACACACACACACACACACACACACACACACACACACACACACACACACAGCAGACACTTTATCACAATCATCAGGAGGTATTATTCAGCCTCACTTAAACTGGTATTAACTGTTACAGTACGTTGTGAAAAAAGGACAGCAGTAAAAACAGGGTCTCCACCACCATCTGCTGGAATATATGAGAATTACAATACATCCTGCAAACTCGAGCTTTTTTCACACCACAGACCCGTGTTTTTGGACCTATGTTGAAATCATAGACTGTGAATATAGAGTTGACCCGTGTCAACAATATGAATGCGAGGCATGTTTTTTCTTCTGGTTCCATTACTTTTGTAACGCAAAACTGTGTTACTACCAACACTGTGTATAGCACAGTTCATACACAAGGCCACCCAAAGTGCTTAACAAAACAAGAAAAACATTAAAATCACATAAGGCATTCAAATGATAAAATAACCATTGTACAGAACTGTTTTTAACCTGTATTTGAACATTGTCGGATTGGACAGATTGGATGTGGACAGATAAATTGAAAGTAAATATAAATTTTGTGCCAAAATAAAAGTTACCAAAAAAATCCAAAGCAAGGTGTTTTATTATGAAAACAATATTGGTATTTGGTCAATATCTAATTGTTTTGAGAAATGTGTGTATTAAATATAATTTGTTTGGCTGGCGTGCGTGAGAATGATTGGCGGTGGTTTGAGGGTTTCGATGAGACAGATTAGTTGCCACACTTCCGTCGGTCTACCCCAGGGCTACCATCAATAATGCCACGTGAAGAGTCTTTGGGTGTCAGGAAAAGAGCTACATACGTACTTTGTATTTGTAACATCTATTTTCATTTTGATACACAGGAGTACCAGGGAGAGGGTCCTGGTTTACACTAAGGTGGTCCTGTTTGTACAGTTTGTTTTGTGACATGTGTCTTGTCACATGTATCGAAGGGTTAAATGTTTTACCTCCTGCACCACAGAGGGGGGGCCCACTTCTCCTGCATGAACTGTTCTGTGAATGCCACACCGTACTGCCTCCTGGAAATACACAAATATCACACTACTAGAACACAAGAACCGTTTTGAAAAGCATACGACCATCAACACACACAAGCTGTAACGTTTCCAACGGTGGAAGATCTAGCTAGAATCTAGATGATTTTAAACAACTTACTTTATTTAATTTCAGTAGTTTTTGACCTGTTTGATTTTTTTCAGATTATTTTTGATACAATATTTCTTCATTCAAGGAAGAACTAATTTTGCTTGACTTCGAAGAAAACACATCTAAGTTCAATTTCCCCCACTCTAATGCACTTAACAACAAAAAACCTTAATTACTTTAGAATGCAATAGGAATGTGAGATCTGTCTTTTTGCCCCTTGCACTTTAGAGGCTGGCCAAACCCATTCAAAGTGCTAATTCTACAAAGGAATCCCCTCAACCAATGAAAACTTTGCATTCATAATAATATTGTCCTGGCCTTGTGTTATGAGATATGGAGAGTTATGAGCTGGACCCTGCCCTCTTCAGGTTAATCATTGAAACCACTGCACACCCCACACGTGCAATTACATAACCCCAAAGAGAGCACCCGATTTACAGTAGCTGCGACGACTGACACAAAATGATCTCTAAGGTTTGACACTTTGTATTCCAGGCCATAATGCTCTGCAGATCTATATCAAATGCATTAATCACAATTGCATTTCAAGGCAGAAATAAATTACAATTATTCCTCCCCAATGATAACAACGATGACCCAAAAAACCCACAGGATGATGTGAGACCCACAAAGACCCACAGGAAAGAAAGCATAGAAGGTAGTCTTCAATAATTCTCCTCGACACTCTCTCTGTAATGGAACCCTTATCAGAGACATGTATGGAATGTTTACTACTGTAATTACAACATGCAATAGTTCACTGTAAAAACAGTTGGACGCCATAGTTTGACATTCAATATGTGGTGAAGTAAGTAGACGGGTAAAATGTGGGTGTATAGTGCATTTCACAGACTAGGATCACAAAGAGCTTCACATTTAAAAACATACAAACAAAAAATACACATACAAGTCAATTACAGAAAACAGAGATGTGTGTTAGATGAAGCATGCATCATCTACACGGTACACATAAGGCTGTGTGCGGTATATATATATATATATATATATATATATACTTTACTGTTTTTCTGCTTTTTTCAGCGACTGAAAGTGTTAGGATCATGTCATCTTGGAGAAAATTCATTTTTGGGAGTAAATATGTGTTGCACTCTTTGCGGCTCAACTTTTTTCATCTGCCTCTGAAATCCGCGACAAATATGTTTTTCTGCGGGTTCTCTAAAGACCATGGATCAATTATATTAAGTGAGCCATGGGCGACAGTAGCTCAGTTGGTAGAACATTGGCCTTTGGGCCCAAAGGTCGTGGGTTCGAGCCCACCACGGGACCTTCTCCACCGACTCCCACTAATGACTGCTGTCGTTGTGTCCTTGGGCAAGACACTTAACCCACTTAGCCTATTAGGAGTGCGGATATGATGTTCGCTGCATGCCTTGATGTGTATATATGTATGTACTACTCTATGTGTATGCATCAAACTGAAATTTCCCCAACTGAATTGCTTGTAGCTGAAGAAACCATGTGCTCGGGGGATTCTCGCGGTACTGCAGACTAAACCAGACTAAATTCATGTGGCTACCCAGAAATTTTCCCCATAGAACTCAATGTAAATTAAAACAGCGCAACCTCAGCTGACAGAGAACCTACAGCTTTCGGAAAGGTCGGATTTTGTGGGGATTTTAGAGGTCCTTTGTCATCCTTTGGTCTTCTTTAAATCCACACTTTAGTGCCACATACTCTGCTCGTCTGGCTCCCGCTCTAACTCCCGCTCTGATGAGCAGCTCTGATTGGTCAGAGCGCGGCCAAGCCCCTCTGTGCACGTGCGTGACAGCCACACACGCGTGTTTCGCGCAACGTATCATGGGAGCTTGTCCACTGCGCAGAACCGGGAGGACCAGACAATGCCCAAATACAGGCGAGTTTCCCATGGATCTTTGAGAGTTCCAGGCGGAGTTCCGCTAATCTTTCAGCCCCCATGCCGGCACAAGGCGCCACTGAGCACAAACCATTAATCGCTGGGGCTTGCTAAAGACTGTTCCAGATCTATGGTTACCATGAAACTGGACAGACTCAAAAGCTGTGTTATTCTCATGGTAAAAGACGCTAACACAAAGCCACGATCTGTACAGTGCTACTAACTTGCGGTGTACTTCTGTAAACTAAATGATTAGGGTCTGAATCGAGGACATAGGGCTCGATGCGTCAGATTGACATTGTTGGAAAAAGTTTATTCTCAGGTCTGAAATGACTATGTACCGGCGAAGCTGAAGAGTTTGCTGAGATCAGCTCGTTTCAACCAGTGGGGGCGGGTCCCGGCTCAAAAGTGGCCAGAATGACGTGCGTTGACATGCTTGCAATACCACCCCGGGCCGATGGGGGTGGACCCAGAAGAAGAATTAGCCAATGCTAACATATAGCATTAGCAGACCTCTCAAAAACGTCTTTACAGGATGGACCAAAAGTCGACTCTTGGCCCAAAGCTCCGTTCCACATGTGTGTCAATGCTGAGGGGGGTGACTTTTTTTGGACCACTCTAGTTTACTCGCTGTGAATTTTTGAAGTCTCTTGTTTAAATGAATGGAGTTGCGCCGGCTGACGCATGCGCAGATGCGTTTTTTCACAATTTTCTTGTGGGCAGGACCACTCGCGGCCATTTTGGATAGCTCCAATAGAGCACATTTTTTGGCCCATTAGTTAGAACAGCGGAGATAGGTGTGACTACGTCCGTTTATACTATACAGTCTATGGTTTCAACTGAGGTGACATCAAGCCTATGCAAGAAATGGTGATAATCTCACAAGTCTTGAGTCTTGTATGGTGTATTACCCAAATTATTATTAGGGTAGGGTGGACTGGGAAAAATGAAGAAGAGCGCAACATAGGACCTTTAATTAATATCCCATAATTATCTCAATGAGTAACAAAAGTCAACCACAGCCCTGCAGAACCTGTGTCACTGTACTGTGTCAGTGCCTTTGTGCCTTTGAGCCAGTGTTAGTCCAGCTGAGCACATCGAGGTCAGGTCAGTGTGATTCATGTGAGCTTTGAAAACAATAGATTACCACATTGTCCTGTTCCTTGATACAAGAGTGTGACAGCGCGGCCACGCCTCACTACAATGTTCAAAGCAAACACAAACTAAACACAAAAAGCTGTTATTTACCCTTTATAAAAGAAGTATCCACTGATTTACATGCACCAAAGGATGAGTACCTCTGATGGTCTGAATCCATATGGTAAAAGGCCCCTTTGCCATCCGCTCTTAAGTTAATATGTTCGGGGACCAAACTTTTGAAATAAATGGAACACACCCAGGACAGGGCTGAAATAGTTTGGGTGTTGTTCAGACCTGGTAAGCGTTCTTGTGCCCGGGATACGCCTCACAGTTGAGCGACTCATCTCCTGCCAGGTCGATGGCCACCACTCCCTCCTCACGGTATCTTTTACACAGCTCCACCACGTCCATGGACCACTCTGCAGACAGGGGCAAATGTGTCAGACAACAGACCACTGCACTGTCTCTGCCGTCTCTACTCTCTCTACTGTTTTCAGGTGTTTTTCTTGTGTGCAAATCATAGACTGTAAATGTGCAAATCTGTGTAAATATGTGCTATTGACACAATGTGTAATAGGGGTATATGCCTTTTAGTTTCACTTCAGTCTACTCTGTACGGGGCGCTGGACTTGAGTTTCAGTTGCAGGAAACAGCTGCTGAATGAAGAGGATCTGATGAGACAGCAGAGCTCAGGTTTCTGACAGAAGCAATGACACAAGAGCAGCAGAGACATGAGCTCAAGTCTGTGAATAACATCGTAACGAGATTCAAGAAAAACATAATGAGGTTTTAAAGTACTGGGTAGGGCCTTGATTGTTATACAATTATCAATATATGTTGTCTATGTGTAACATTTGTAATTCAAAATATTGCTTTAGAAAATAGAAAATAGTTCAGCCAAAACAGGTGATACATAAATAAACCCAGATGAGCATGTGCAGACAGTGCGTCCTAGTTGAATTACACCTCTGCTGCTTTGAGGTTATAATCGAATGATGTGATGCAGCTGCAGGACCGGTCTCAGCCCCTTCACGGACTTCAGAGCCTGTGTTCTTCCTTGATTATTCACAACAAGTGATTTAAAAAAAACAGTGAATTAAACAAACAACAGCAATTATGTCATCACATTAAATATACGCTATTATCTCACTCTAAAATATTTATTTTATTCAATTAACTGTGATGTGCTTCCCCACCTGGTGGGTTCTGGAAATCCATGTTAATTTTCCCTATTTTATTTTGTAATAATAAATACAAAATAAAATACTACTAATAACACAATACACACAATCCACTGTTCAAACCAGCAAGCCCCACGTTTGTATTTACAATCTCTCTTCAAAGTCTTTATATTTGTTGTGTTTCTGAGCTTTAGGGACAATTTGACAGCATGTTGACTGGGATTCACGTTTGTATTCTGGGGACTTTTATAAAATTGAAATAAAAACATTTGTATTTGTTTATTCCTTCATTCCATGGAGATTGTAGGGTTCATGCAGTTATATCAAACACTTTCAGACCCTTCCATTAAAAACAAAACATTGTATCCAAGTAGTTGAATTACAGGGAAACTTGAATCGTTGAGTCAGTGAGTGTGTGCAACTGTGTGTTTGTGGGAGAGAGTGTGTGCAACTGTGTGTTTGTGGGAGAGAGTGTGTGCAACTGTGTGTTTGTGGGAGAGAGTGTGTGCAACTGTGTGTTTGTGGGAGAGTGTGTGCAACTGTGTGTTTGTGGGAGAGAGTGTGGGCAACTGTGTGTTTGTGGGAGAGAGTGTGTGCAACTGTGTGTTTGTGGGAGAGAGTGTGTGCAACTGTGTGTTTGTGGGAGAGAGTGTGTGCAACTGTGTGTTTGTGGGAGAGAGTGTGTGCAACTGTGTGTTTGTGGGAGAGAGTGTGTGCAACTGTGTTTGTGGGAGAGAGTGTGTGCAACTGTGTGTTTGTGGGAGAGAGTGTGTGCAATGAGTGTTTGTGTGCATTTGTGTGTGTTGCTTTGCAATCGTGTGTATTGATTATTTTGTGTGTATTATTACTTGGCATGTGGCGCATGCAGCATAGAATGGACCTGGCTTTGGTTCTGAAGGCCTCCTCTCCTTCACGCAGTCCCTCATTCACCAGTCGCACCACCTCGTCCGGGCTCAGGTCGCCTCTACATCACAAACACAGTTGCATACTTAAAACAAATGACAAAATGCGCAAAACTTCATTTTGTGGTGGGACCTTTGCAATGCACTATATGTATTATTAGTATTACTATAGTTGTTTTACACATGTACAGTACACACATTTGGTATTAGTACTGGATTGAACCAAGTCATAAATAATATTAAAAACAAACAGAAAGAGTACAATGTTTTTTTTATTATTTTAATTAGTGAATTAAAGCTAATTTATTTGAAATGCATAGCTCATTAGCTCATAGCTCATAGCTCATACTCAGTCTGTGTCGGCAGCAGCCATTTTTTAAATTTTTTTTCAGGAAATATGAATCCAGCCCAAATGTTGCCATATTGACATGTTCTGTATGTTTTCTATCGTTCCCACTAAGTCCCTGGTTGCCCGTGGTTACTGGGATGCTTTTATTGAATAACTTGTTGAATCAACAGAGATGGTGTGATTGTTGTAGCACAAGAACAGCATGTTCACTTAAGAGTTGAGCCGAAACATTTCTGTCAATGTATCTTTTTTTTTTTTGGTGATAAATCAATCCCAGTATTATAAACTCTCTTACTACATTCAGAAGCATGAGCTGTGCTGAGTGGGATAAAGTTCTTACTCGGTCTGGTTCCAGGGGATGGGGTCGACCTGAGTATTGGCCAGGAAGTGCGGGCTGTAGCGGACTTCCACGTAGACCACTCCCTCTTTGGCCTTGTCCTCCACAAACTCATAGGCCACCCTCTTTATGGCCTCACGATCTCCTCTGCAATCACAACCATAGGTCAGCTGCACTTGGACTCACATTATCTCACACTCATAAAAAAATTCAATATGAATAATATGACTTTAACTGGATTCTGAGGCCTCTTTTTTAGTCCCACAGCAGAGATGACTGTAAAAGCTGTTTATTATTCCGTACAGCCTCAAATTCAATGTTCATCATATAATGCATCAATATCTTGCATTTGTTATTGTAATCAATAATCGTTTCCTCAACAAAAACAGTTCTGGAGTTGAAATGAGTTTTATCCACTCTAATACAAAGAATTTTCACCAAAGACTAATCCCCTCATAAAACGCATCCATTGAATCCCTCTGATCTGATGTGAGAAGCTACAGTGAGTGTTTCTGCCTTCCTCAACAAATGCATTCCTGCAAACAAAACACCTTTTGTTTTATTTTGACTCATTATGTTATTTTTATTTTGCGTGGTTCTGGCTGATCAGGTTGTAAAAGATAAAAACACAATTTCCTTAATTAACATGGGGGGTGAAAGTCCTCTGCTCCTCACACTGTTACTGCCACATGATTGGTGTCTTTCAATTTCAATTCAGGTGTCACAATCGACCCACAACAATCATGATTTATGGTGGAGCTCTATGATTGACTTGAAAATGTGATTATTTGTGACAACATTGGATCATTCAAAGATCCTCACTGAACTTCTGGACTGAGTTTGCTGCACTGAAAGTAAAGGGGCCGAATAATATTGCACGCCCCACTTTTTAGTTTTTTATTTGTTAAAAAAGTTTAAATTATCCAACAAATTTCATTCCACTTCACGATTGTGTCCCACTTGTAGTTGATTCATGACAAAAAATTAAAATTTGATATCTTTATGTTTGAAGCCTGAAATGTGGTTCAAGGGGGCCGAATACTTTCGCAAGGCACTGTATAATATAATTGTTCATAAATCAAACATTGAGCTTTTTTGCCACCAGGAATTCTACAGCTACTTTCTGCATTTGTTATTTTTCTTTCATTTAATTGGAATAAGGGCATAATTGGAAGTAATGTATTCCCTTAAAAGCTGATTGACTTTGATAATCTGATGTTTTAATGCTGTGGGTCACACTGGTGGCTATAATCGATGCAAAACTAAGTGATTTAGAAGTGCTCTGCTGCTTCTCAGGGCGTGTGGCGTTCACAGTGATCACAGCGTATTTAAGATACTCCAAATATTTCCTAGTATTGTGGGCCATGTATCATTTGGTTCATTGTGATTCCTAGTGATTTCTTATTCACAAAGATAAGACTATCTACACTGCTGACTTTGAACTTTTGAACTGCAGCAGCATTTGCGAGGCTGCGGTGGACCCTGTGTTTACGGTCACCTGTGCTGCATGTGAGGACATCAGGACATACAGCTTATACAGCTTATACAGCATATACAGCATATACAGTATATACAGCATATACAGCATATACAGCATATACAGCATATACAGCTTATACAGCATATACAGCATATACAGCACATACAGCTTATACAGCATATACAGCATATACAGCATATTCAGCATATACAGCATATACAGCATATACAGCATATACAGCATATACAGTAAGGGCTGTAGTCTTGGAAAATACCTGCAGATCATTATTATTACATAAAACAAAAAAAACATTTTAAGTCTCAATAATGTGGAGCGTCATCTGACAGTTATTTTACGGTACATTAACTTGAATGTCATTACAACAAAGGGCCGACATAACAGCATTATCATGCACATGGACAACACCTCCCACCCACTGTACTGGACTGTAGAGAACCAGAGGATTTTAAATGAACATAAAACAACTTAATTGCACAAAAGATACTATTGCAACATGTTTTGAACATGTCTTTGCTACACCCTGAAGTACATTGTAAAATCAGTAACGTTTTATCTTATTTTGTCTTATTACAATGCACCAAGACAAAATTGCCCATTAAACAGCTTTTCTTGAAATTGAATATTTTCATATTAAATATATTACTATATACAGGTATAAATATATATATATATATATATATATATATATATATATATATATATAGGTATATATATATATATATATATATATATATATATATATATATATATATATATTTATATGTATATGTGTGGCAAACTCACGCAATAACGTGCATGTACTCTGCGAATCGTCCCAGGAACTCAGTGAGGCTGCCGGGCGTTTGCACAATAATGACTTGTGTCATCTGCTCCACTGTACTAGCGGGAAGAGTAATGCCACGCCTCCTGCAAATGGGGAAATACAAAAAGATAAAGTGGATTAAAATACATCATTGATTGTTAAATACAGCTTGTATATATACGTAATGAAGATTAATCTAATTTTGCTTGTATCATTTCTAATATTACAGCACAAACATGTTGAACAATTGTAGACTCACTCAGCGACATCGAGAATGGTCTGAACTCTGATGGCTCCATCCAGGTGCACATGTAGCTCGACCTGTTAGAAAGAGGTGGTAGAAGTGAGTGATGCCCTGACGAGTACTTTCATGCCAAAACCCTTTAGGATTTATAATACTGCAGCCAAAACAAAGTATATGAGTACAACTTTCGGAACACTCTGTCCTCAACTTTCCCACCCTGTACATATTTTGCCCGCCCACAGAATTGTTTACCCTAATCTGTCTTCTGGACTGTGCCAAATATAGAAAAATAGAACAAATCAATCTACAATGTTGATGAATCTTTGTGGGTCTGAAGTGGAAGACTTGTTGCTCATTCTTCTTTAATCACGGCTTTGGGGAAAGAACTACAGGAGCAAGTATCAAGTGTCTTCTAAAAACATGTAAAGGGTGACTCACATACTACTAACCTGTACCTTCTTCATCTGCCTTTGATTATGTTTAGTTTATGCACAATGTAATATGTTATGTGTCCTGCCTGACTGCAGGAAGATCTGTAAATCAAGTTTAAAAAAAATCTGTATGAGGAAAAAAATCTTGATTGTTTTTCCCCCAGATTGGCCAGCCCTGTTTGGAACAATAGACAATCTGCTGCTTGGTACCGTGAGTAAAATGTACCATGAGCTTAATATTGAAGTCAGCAAGCCTCATTTAATGATTTCAGGTCAATATTATTGTGTTCAAAATACATAATTATGAACCCTTGGACCAGTATGAAGTTGTCTCCCTCAACAGCAGATGTTTCTTTGCTCTGATCTTTTGACTTGTTTTATTTTTCTGTTAAATATGTCCAAAGACAAACAGAGAACAGCTGCGGGACTCTTTTGAGCCCAGAGTTCGAGTCCAGGCCAGAGAGAAAGATTTAATGATGATAACGCTTCTAGCTCAATTCACAGAGAATGACAATATATGCTTCACCTTTTTATGTTGTTTTGACAGTTAAAGTTTTTTGCTTTCTGTTTTTTTCTTCTTCTTACAAATCAGACAACAACTTGCAGTCTTCATTTTGTAAGCATCTTATAAAACATGTTATTTTTTACACATTAGTAAGAAATAGCCGTGTGAGTCACAATTTGACACTTTGGGTTGAGAGCTGATGGGGGATGGGTGTCCTGTCTTTTTCACCTTTCTGTATGAAAATTGTGTTAGTTACAACGACATGTTGTTTCTGTGAGCACTGGATCTCCTCAGGGATGTATTTTGAGTCCTTTACTTTTTACACTGTACACTCACGATTGTGTGTCTTCCTCAGACTCTAACCTGATCATCAAATATGCTGATGACACCACCATCATCGGTCTCATCAGTAATAACGATGAATCGTCTTATAGAGCCGAGATCCAAAACGTGGTTCAGTGGAGTAAGGCTAACAACCTCCAGCTGAACGCATCCAAAACATGTAAACTGGTCTTTGATTTCAGTCGCAATAGTTCTCATTTGCCTGTCGCAATCGATAACTCCCAGGTGCAGATTGTAGAGGAGTGCAAGTTTCTGGGTCTAACTCTGTCTAATGACCTGAAATGGGTTAAAAACACTGACCGGGTCGTAAAGAAAGCTCGTCAGCGTCTCTACTTCCTGCGGAAACTTAGAGAATTTACCACTAACTCTAAGATTCTGCTGAACTTTTATCGCTGCACCATTGAGAGTTTACTTGTTGGTTCTGTGTCTGTGTGGTTCGGTAACATCACAGATAAAGAAAAGAGAGCTTTAAACAAGGTGCTCCGCTCTGCTAAGAGGACCGTGGGCTGTGAGCTTCCTGTCCTGGAGGCTCTTTATCAATCCAGACTTTTTAACAGTGCCCTGAGAATTATCAATGACTCTTCTGGCCACCCAGGAAAAGCCTTGTTCCAGCTTCTTCCCTCTGGCAGAAGATACTGTTCTCTGAGATGCAGGACATCTCGTTATGCTAATAGTTTTTTTCCACGAGCTGTTAACAGTTTGAATAGAGCACTTTAATGTTTTTGCACTCGTATAGATCTGTTTTAAGTTGGTCAACTTCACGGTGACATTTGTTTACTGTTTTTAAAATTTGTTTTCTTTTTGTCTTTTAATGTTGTTTTGTGTCTGTACTTGTCCTGTGCACACTGGGAACTTTTACAAATGTATTCCAATGTAGTGTTACTGCAAATGGCAAAATAAATGAATCTGAATCTGACATGATTAATGTTTAATTGCCAAAGTGAAAAGAATTATAAATCATAAATAATGATGATGATAATAATAACAATAATAATGATAATAATAATTATCTATTTGTGATGTAAACAGTGACATCACTCACGGCAGCCTGTGTAAAGAGATAGTGTGGGACTTTTCTCTGCTCTGGCCATTGAGCCGAGTGTTCACACCAGATAACGTCAGAAATGAGTAAGAACAGTGCATTGGTGAGTCTGTCGTGGAACACTTGACACTTTAGTCATCATGAGTGAGATATTGTGAAACATGGAGAAACCACTTTTTCCAATTTTACATCACATACGCTGCCATTCACACACGCTCCCATGTCCTTATAAGTTGGTAATGATTAGAGAGCTGTCAAAGCTATTATCACATTCAGGCAACACAAGGATCTCATAATCATCAAGTCAGCAGCGATTTCTATTGCATGCTGGCATTCTTAAATACAATTTCAACCAAATATAGTATGACTTGACAGAATGCTAAGAGAGATAAATAAAAAAGTTGAAATAATGGGCCTGTATTGCACTGAACAATTCCCATGTGCAGTGTCACTTCCCAACTGTCCATGAAAATTTAATGACTTTGTCTGAAGTTGATCTGATGCCACTGCCCTTTTAGTCCTGCATTAGTCGGATGGATGCTTGTGTTGAGAGTATATATATATATATATATATATATATATACAGTATATATATATATATATACTACTCTCAACACACATTTGAATATATACATTTAAAATCATGGCTCAGACCTATAGATGAGTCTTCTCTCTTGGGAATGTGTCTTTAATTGCAATATCCTTCAGTTTATCAGGAGCTGTTTTCTTAGTGCTACCTATCCCAATAAAAACAATGATAATGCTAATAATAATATTTTTTAAAAACATAATATTCTTCTATATGACATACATTTACTAATTAAAGACATTGACCCAAATGAATCTTGTTCATCATGTTTTCTCATTCAGTCTTATCTACTAGACTAAAATATACATTCAAACATTGCGCTTGCTGCCAGGGCAATATACTGTATGAAACTATGGCAACCATGGATAATAATTAATGGGCCTATTGTTAACATTGTTAACATTGTTAACATTTGAAACATAATTTGAAATCTCTATAGCTCTATTGAAAACATTTGTAATCAAATAAATGATTTGTTGATTGAATTTAGTTGGCGCCTTAGCCCAAGTTCAGTTTGTCCATTCAAATAGGGAATAGGATTTAACAAAGAATATGTTTATCTCTGTGACCCCTGCCATCATGTCCAAACGACCCATAATAAAAAAGTGCTTATTCAGATGATGATAATGTATTTATCAACATAGACCTTTCCATCACAATATTATTTACTGATGCTGTCCTTTTATAGCCTGCACTGTTCCACCTGCATCCACGAGCTGAAACGCGGAAAGGAACCAACACAATAGTCTTTGTAAAGCGCATGAAACAATCTCATTCACCGGTGATTTTCTTTTGTTTATTATACCGCCTCTTCGCTTCTGCGTGCAAAGCCACTTTACTTTACAGTCATGTGGCTGAATGGAAGCCGGGGGAAAGCGCTCGTACCTTGGGCTTGTTGAAGACGATCGCGTTGGAGGAGACCGGTGACATGCTGCTGGAGAGGTGTCTGCGCACGGAGCCTTTTACGCGCACTGAGCCCAGAGCTGCCGCAACTACAGCCTCTATTGCCCCGGCCCTGTACGCGAGAGTGTGCATGACGCGCACTGACACGCCCAGAGGAATGTAAAACAGCAGCAGATAAGGCCAGTGCACTCATTACAGTCTATGGTGCACTCATGGTAACAGGCGAGCAGCAGTCTGTCTACACCTGCCCTCACCGCTGCGCTAAGATGCGGGATAATCTCCAGGCTTAAGTTTGCGCCATGTGATGAGAACAGATACAGCTTTGGCGCTAATTGGCTCTGTTACGAAAGAAGGCGAAAAACAAGAATCAACTCACTAAGAAGAAAGAGTTTGTGTTTGTATAAAAGATGGGATACCTGCAAAAGCAAATACAGTTTTTTTGCTTATTTGATTAAAACGTCTTCATTTCTATCACACACACTTGAATGAAAGAATGCGATGATGACAGAATGAACTCATCAGACCCCAATGAAAGGAGGAGATTTTGGGCAGAAAACATAATAATAAGGTTACCAATGCCACATCCATAACTACGATCATGTTAGCCTGTATCTGGAAGTCCCACAGCATCTTAGCCCTATAGCTTGCTCATTCTCCACCACTTTTTGGGGAGTTTTCTCTTGACCTTGGGGGTTCAAGACCATACTCAGCACATATGTGTGTATGTCAGTCACCTGTTGATAGTGTTCCATGGACTTTGCCTGCTAGAATCTTACAAGGTGTAATCAATCACTCAGTCACTCTAGACCAAAGTGCTTTACAATAAAATCACATAAAATCCATTAAAATATGTATGCATTCAAACAATAAAACAGTTAAAACGCATTATAGAAAAGCATTAAAAAGAGTCACGGTGCTAATGAGTGTCAAAAGTGTGGGCGACAGTAGCTCAGTTGGTAGAGAATTGATTGGCCTTTGAGCCAGAGGGTCGTAGGTTCGAGTCCGACTTTCACATCAACTCCTACTGTCTGCTGCCGTTGTTTCCTTAGGCAAGACACTTTACCCCCATTGCCTAGAATGAATCTGGTGTGTGTGAATGGTTGGTGGTGGTCAGAGGGGCCAATGGCGCATACTGGTTGCCTCGCTTCTGTCAGTGTGCCCCAGGGCAGCTGTGGCTACAGTAGTAGTTTATCACCACCGTGTATGGAGTGAAAGATAATGACATGTAAAGTGTCTTTGAGTGTCCAAAATATATAAAACCGATGCATTATTATTATTAAAAAAACGACGGAATAAATACGTTTTGAACCTCGATTTTAAAAAGCCAAAATAAGTGAGGACTATGGTGAGGACACACATGTCAGGGGGCAGCTTGTTCCAGATTCTGGGTCCAGCGACTGAGAAGGGCCGGTCTCCCCAATGTTTGTACCTAGTCCTTGTTACTTCCAGGAGGAGTTGAGATTAAGATGAAGAGATCCTTTATTCGTCCCACAGTGGGGAAATTTCAGTGTTGCATCACAAGTTACAGAAGGAATAAGGAGCACACAGCACAAGATAAGTGAACAATAGCTATTCTGATTATAATAGAACAAAATCTAAAACTTTAGCATCAAAGAACAAGTATAAAATCTCTTTCTTGAACATTATAGTATGTGCAGACCTCACTGATCTGAGCTTGAGTCCCGGACAGTCAAAAGTTCGGACAAGTACGAAGGGGCGAGACCAATGAGGACTTTAAAAACAAATTGTAACGAAACTGGAAGCCAATATGTTGACGTCTGGGTGTGTTTGTTAAAAAGCGAGCTTCAGCATTTTGAACTAACTGAAGACGATTTAAACAGGACTGGTGATGCACAAAATAAAGGGCATTATAGTAATCTATGTAAGACTGTGATATTATGGCGTGTCTCAGGATTGTCTGGTGTGGTAAATCAGGGCCTGAGTGTGTCTGTGCTGTCCTGCAGGCATGCCATCTCTATAGCCATTGCTGTATTTCTGTTTTTAAAAAGCTCAATAATAGAACTGTGTGATCAAAATATAATCCCCAATTCCTCACTGTGCATTTGAATAGAACTAAACTTACAACAACTACTGTAAAGCCATTCATTGGTCAGGCAACAATTACTGATTTATCTAGAGATTGATAGATTGTACTATTCCGACGTATTCAAAGGTACCAGAGAGTTTCCTTTAAATCCTTTAAATCAGTTGCACAGCCTGTTCTTCTGTGTTTCTATTGGGATCCAAGAGCAGGTTTTTGAGTGTCGTCTCTGCTCTGTGATGTATGAGGAGCTTATTGCAAAAGAGAAAACACTGAATGTCAACCGTGTAACATGACCAAGAGGAAATAACAGCCTCCAATGTGAACTTTTACCCACAGGCGCAGAACTGATGATGATTACAGCTCCATGTTTAAACTCCCAGGGGTATAATACTATTCATCCACTATGCCTTTTAGTGGAAGTGCAACAAAAGTACACAAAATGGAAAACAACTTGTGAATCCTTATGTGCTGAGTACATGTATTGGATGAGTTTTCACTGTTATTTTCTTCATGGGTTATTATTTTTAGTGCGCATGTGCTATTTGCATTGGTTGTTTGATTTGTTATTATGTAAATTTGCCAAACAGTAGGCTACAATAACGGGCTGGGTGGAGAGAAGTTGTGTTCTTATGCAGTTATTCAAGTGAATTTATTTCCTGTTTCATTACCAGGGCTACGCTGTCGGTGTAAATAATTATGTGGTAAAGGTCCTCCTGATGCAGCACAATGTGACGGATAGAAAAGAAAGATTCAGCGTCTGAAAAGAAGAAGTCTGGATCAGTGTTTTTCCTCACACAGCTGCAACATTTGGACCACAAATGTTGCAGCTGTTTTGCAACACAATGTTTCTTTTTATTTTTTTATTGGAGGGATCAATGAACCTCACTTCCATTTCTGTCTTTCACCCTCCATTCAGAGTTTTATTGTTGTTAAGTTTGAGAAAGTTGTGGTTCCATCCATTTTTTGATATCGGAAAGACAGTGTGTGTGGATGGATATGGTGGAGCGTAAATGTTGACGGATGATGTGTAAGTAAGTAAGTAAGTAATCTTTATTTGTATAGCACCTTTCACAGGCAAAGGCCACAAAGTGCTTCACAACACAGTTAAAACATCACAGAAATTAAATACAATATAAAAAGGGTCAAAGCAACACAGAAATCGTATCAGCCCAAAAATAGCTAATTAAAGGCTTGAACAAATAAATTAGTCTTAAGATTGCTTTTAAAAGTATCAACCGAGTCAGTAGAGCGCAAAGAGGGCGGAAGATCGTTCCAAAGCCTGGGAGCAACAGCCTGGAAGGATCGGTCACCTCTTGTACAAAAACAAGTGCGTGGAACCTTTAGCAGATTTTGATCCATAGACCTCAGAGCCCGAGCAGGGGTGTGAGGCTGGATCAGAAAACTGAGGTAAGAAGGAGCTTGACCACGCAAGGCTCTGAAAGCTAGAACCAAAATTTTAAACGTGATCCTATAGGACACTGGCAACCAATGAAGTTGTTTTAAAATAGGAGATATGTGGGTCCTCCTGTTAGTGCGGGTCAGAATTCTCGCTGCAGAGTTTTGCACTAGTTGCAGTCGAGAGAGCTCCTTCTTATTTAGACATGAAAACAAACTATTACAATAGTCTAAGCGTGAAGACACAAATGCATGAATGATAAGCTCCAAGTCATTACGTGCGACCATATTCCATGTGGCCAAGGGGAAGCATGTAGATGATGAAGAGGAGCGTGCCGAATACCGAGCCTTAGGGAATACCAGTGGAGACAGGAGAGGTATTTGATTTGAAGTCATTTACTGAGATGTCAGGGTGGCAGTCGGTGAGGAAGAAGGAAAACCAGGAGAGTGCTGTGCCAGAGATGCAGATGGTTTGAGGATGCTGTAGTCACTGGTGTCAAAAGGCTGCACTGAGGTCAAGGAGGAGGAGGTTGGAAGAAGAACCAGAGAGGAGGAGATTGTTGTTGACTTCCAAAGGCCTGTTTCTGCTGTGGGTTACAAATTGGAATGTTTATTTACTACTCAATAAAAGTTCCCATCTGTCACCCACGGTCATGAACTTTGGCAACAACCGAAAAGAGGAGGTTGCTGATACAAACAGTAACGTATGTCTGTGAGTTTCCGCCGCAGAGTTTCTGAGCGCTCCCTCAGAGATATAAGATGAGGAGCTCGGACACATGGGAGGAATAGCAATAGGTGGCTCGAGCATGTCTTTCATAGGCTTCCTGGTTGCCTCGCCAGGGCCGGGAACTTTTTTATTGTGCTTTCATATCTTTTGATGTTTTTGTACTGTGTTTGGTAAACATTTGAACAAGCATTCCAATATATTTTTAAGTAAGTAAGTAATTAAGTAATCTTTATTTATATACCGCCTTTCACAGACCAGAGTCACAAAGGGGTTTACAATTGTTATTATTTTGGGCATTTGTCCTCTCACTCCACACAGAGATGGGAGCGGGGTTTTTCACTATGGATGGCCAATACATTTTTGAATCTGAATTATTATTATTATTATTATAGTAGTTTTAAATTAGAATAATACATCAAATATAATACAAGATAATAATTCATGGTGTAAATAATATGAACTGTACTGTTTCAGGTGGTCTTCATGGGTAAATTTTGAATAGACTTTATTCATGCTGATTTCATGTTATTTTTTATTCTGCGAAACCAATGAATGGCAGTGAATTTGTACATGATCTCAAACGCTACTGTCAACTTTTTGTTGTACGCATGATTTTGTAGTATATGTCTCACCTGCTAGTGCAATGTAGTATCAATAATTAAAAACTCTTTTAAATGGTTTGTATGTTACGTCTGCTCCTTATGTACCCTGACTGTAAAAGTACTTTCTTGAATGCATTTTTTTTTTTTTTTTTACCTTTTTTCCCTTCTTTGTATTACGATGAGACTGCCACAAGAGGGCGGCATTGAACTAATGTCAGAATACTGAGTGGCAATCGAGGTAGGAGAGGCCACAGTAATGATGATAATGAGAATGACAGTAATAATAAATTGTTTATACGGTGCTTCTTGACACCTAAAGACTCATTATTTGTTCTTTTGGCACACAGTGGTGGTGAAATACCTG